CAACGAAGACAAGTGGTCCCGATAGTTTTGAGAAGATGCAAGGACACCGATGAACGCTTAATGAAGAACTTGACCGATCGTTTAACGTGGGTGTCTTGTAAAGACGTGGCCGCATTCTTCAGCTCTTTAAAGAGTTCAACGAGAATTCATTGCGTATCATCGCACCTCTTTAACTTTTGGAACAGTTACATAGAATTGTACCTGGTCCTGCTTGAGATTTGTCAGGGCATGAGCCCGAAGGTAATTGGTCACTTCACCTTGCCTGCAACAGCAGAGCGAGATGCTTCCACACTTCTGGTCTGTGACCGCCCCAAATACTCGAGATGCATTCCCAATTTTACCTTGCAGGACTAAACAAGGTGAGCAAGAAGGCTCCTGAGGTTCACCAGGATTTCTTTCGAGACCCTTGTTCGAGCCACAAGATATTCTCAGGCATTGCCGCAAGTCTGGACTGAATTATGGATTTAGGGCGGACAGATCAATTCGTGACTCCAAGGCAACGGAGGTGTATTGTCAGTTTATACAACACAGCAGTCTGGTGCCAATGCAAAGTGGTTTCTTACCGCCCCACGAAGAGCCAGCCGATTGTTCGCAGCTTTTCTCAGCAATCGCAAAGGAATTTGCTACATGCTGGCGACGTGGCACATGAACGAGTAGGCACCGCACAAAGTAAGAGGAAAACAGAGCGCTAAAGGAAAAATTTTTTCGGCGAAATCTTTGAGGGGACAAGAGAATATGCTACAGATGACTACTGCTGATGTCTACCGTCAATGACATTATTGGGTAAAACCCATTTTACAGTGGCTCGGTGGAAAAAAAGTAATGGAGTAGTAAGAATTGTTCAAATCTTAGCACTGGTGTGCGTCTATGCCCTCAATATCATCTTGGCTTTCGGTAGAGAAAAAGGACAATCATGGCCAAACTATGACACAAAAAGCCGAGGGTGGACATCAACGAAACTGGACTATTGTTGGCAGCATTTCTCGGATCTCTTCAACTGGCTAATAAATACGATTGCACCGAAAGCTTGGCGATTGTCAAGAAGAATCAACATCATAGAGATCTGTGTGTCACATTGAGTGAATCGATTCCGATCTACCGCGCTCCAACGTGTCCATCTGCCTTCTCTCCATACCTCTGGAATACCGCAAAATGTGGTTTGACCATAGTACTTGTCGCTTGAATTTGTTATTGTTCACATTAGATGTCAAGAAATTGATTCCTGAGGAGAGAACAACAAGGGTATTGCGACATAAATGAAGTATTATCAATCAGTTCCATTTTCTGTAAAGCGAATATGAAGACGGGAACACGTCAGGCAGACCGGTGGAAAGCAGTACGAGAGACTTATGGGACGAACCTAGATATGAACGCTTACAGATATACGGCCAACGATGCGGGCTCCCATGTGAGAAGAAGGAGATTTGAGTCAGAGACAGCACACATCATCGATGGGCATGGCAGACTGAAGTGCAGATGCGTGACAATGCAAGAGACTGGCGCATCGTACATGTTGCGAGTGAGAAGCTCGACCTCAAACGAGCATATTAAGGACATCACGGTATAACTCGACTTTTGGGGAAAGATAATTGCTCGCGGAGACGATGTCAATGTGTGATGTTTCGGGACAGGTACGATAAGGAAGACTATTCAAGGAAGCCGAGAACGAAAAAGACGAGGGTCATTCATGCAGATACTGAAGTCAAAATATCCGGAAAAGCAGACACCAGCGCCAAAGAATTACATCAGGAATCAAGAACACAATGACTGCGCGTGAAAGTGTTCCTTTGTAGTAGGTTGAACTGAGCTTGCCGCGAGTCAAGCTTGATGCCAGCGGACAACAACTAGTTCTAGCGGGTGACGTTACAGAGGGATAAGGTAGAGCTTACCACGGAATGGTGCATCAGAGGAACATTAGCTGCAACCTTAGTTCACTAGAAAGCGACCACGAAAGGGCGGACAGCAGGACGAATGTTGGCGCTGCACGCACGAGGTCTGGTAAACTGGAGAGAGAAATAGAGACGAAGAGAGAGAGAGAGAGAGAAGAGAGAGGAAGATGAGAGAGAGCGAGGAGATAGAGACGAGAGCGAGGGAGAGAGAGAGAGAGAGGAGAGAGAGAAGAAGAGAGAGCAAGGCGCGTCGAGAGAAATATATAACGCACTACAGAGAAGAGAGAGGAGTTACGGTAAAGAGAATATAGCAGTCACGGAGGGGAACAGATGTGGCCGTTGGCACTTTGTATAATACTGCATTTTCGGGCGACGAGTAGCGCATTGATGAGAGACGAGCAGCGTAGAGACTCGAGAGGTTGGAGAGAGAGAGAGAGAGAGTAGAGCAGCAGACCGTTTTCTCAGAGGAGGAGATCCGGTTCCTGTGTCGCACCTGGCTGTAGTCGACCCACACTCGAGCTGTTATTTTCTCTTAATGTGTACAGGGGTACCTCAATACTAATCAGCATTTATACGCAACGCGAGTCACTTTAGCATTAGGACAAACTAGTGGCTGAGGTCAAATGGAGCATTGATTTCCTCTTCCATATTGTATTGTATATGTTCTACTATTGCCCATGCCTTTACTTGTCACTATGAAGAGTTTAGCCATGCGCGCATAACTCTATGATTATTAGATACTAACGAATCAGAAGTAGGGCTGGAGCTCGAATAAAACTTTCACTGTTTGGCCTGGCTCTTTCCTAATGGCGCTTACTTGTCTATCAGGACTTATTAATATGTTACATTAGAGGTGGTCAGATCACATAACGCTGAAATTACACGGGCCTTAAATGGTAACATGCTCTTAAACCCCACATCGCAGAATAACCTCTTCATTCTCGAATGGTCGGAATTCGGATGAGAACTTGGAAAAGGGTGGGCAGCAGCAGCTCCTGAGCGATGTATCTCTGCACTCGGGCTGTTCAGGTGCGTAAGAAAAGAATGGAAGTCTTGATAGCTATGGGCGTACACAAGACCCTCTGCTCCATATTTCATTTTCATCACTGGATCGAGAGTGGACTGCGAAGGTATAATATGGAATATGCTACGCATATCATACCTTCACTATTTGCTCAATGCATGATAATCCACATCAATCAGAGGACAAGGCACACAAGCTAGTCTTGATTGTACTTCTACACAAAATTCAGTATCAGCAGCATGATGTTTTCGCTATTATTGTGACTGTAGCAAGACGAAACACAGTCATAGAAAGGTACACGTATTTGGGAACGCTCCAAACGGGAAGGGGAAACGAGTGTTTTTCCAGAGAATGCAATAGACCAATTGTAAAAGCTGGCAATATATAGGAAAAATCATGCTCATATCGACACAACACCTCAACAGTGCTCATTCTTATTACTACAGAGATACAACACATGATTTCTGCTGGACACGGAGTAATTTTCACAACTACGGCAGCCCGCCTTGTGTGGAGAGATGCCTGACACACACACAGCAAGCTGCGCCTTCCGTATTAGGAATATGGTGGGGAGACTTAGGCCATTCAGAGGGAAAAGCCGTATGAGGGAGACTACTGCCGACCATATTCCCAGTAAAGCCTTTGTGGCGTCAGCGAATTAGATCGACATTAGGGAAGTTACCTCGCCAGAGTGGGCTCACCTCGCGCCTGTGCTCGGAAGATTTGCCAAGACAGCGGCTAAAGCAAGTAGTAAATGTGACAATAACGTATGGCTTACCTCTGCTCTCTCAGAAGCAACATGGTCTCATGCTCATAAAACATAAGCTCGCGCTCACTCGAGCAGGGACAGAAATACCGTCACAAGCACCTCGCAGGCTATGTTACTTGAGAGGCTCCCATTGGTCAAGATGGAAGCTTGTGTCAACACAAAACCTCATTGAAAAGCGCGACAACTGTGGCATCATAAGCTTCAAACTGCCCCCATTTAATACGCAATCAGAGGTAATATTCACTGTTGAGGCTAAAGAGAGACGAGTGACACACAAGTGAACTG